AGATCGCCATCGCGGCAGGCGGCAGCCGGCGAAAAAAAGTGACTCACGTAGGCGCGCGAGCCCAGGTGAAAAAGCGTCGGCGGTGCGAGCCGCCGCCGCCGGCCATCAGCTGATTGTCAAACGTTCGGCCGAAGTCGCGAGGGTTCGCGATCGGCTTCGCAGACATCGCGGCGGCCGAGAGCGTCTGCGAAACAGTTGAAAGCCGGCTCGAAAGTTGGGATGTCGACGGGCTGCGAACTGCGCTGAGCTCACAGCCGGCTACTGTCAGTTTTTTTTGTTTAATAATACACCGGGTGTTTGGTTTTCACGGGGTTTAAAACAAACGGGATATTTGTGGTTTTGCTAGAAATTTGTGCGTTTTTTTATAAAGATTAGGTGAGTTTATGATGAATTTTAATATTGTAATTTTATAATGTCATATTTAAAATATTTTTAAACGTTTTAACATTCTTAAATAAAAATTTATAGATTTGCTGGCAAAAGTAATACGTAAAGTAGGTATAAAATAGGATTCAAAATTTTGTTTTTTTCTTAAGAAAATATAAAAATTTCTTTTTTGGAAAAAGCTAATTAGTAGCAAATATAATATTATTAAAAAAAACATTTTACACAAACCTTTTTATAACCGGGTTTTAAAAAATTGAAGTATTTTGTAGTTGTCAGTTTAATATCTGAAATTTTTGTGTTAAACATTTTCGACAAAAATATTAACCAAGATAAAGATATTTAATAACAAAACAAAAATTCTATATCTATATTCTGAACTTTCTTAGATACATATGTACATTTAAACAAGTCAATGAAAATTAAGAACTTGGAATGGAATAATATAAAAAATGAAACTAAAACGAGTATTTTAGTAAAAAGCGGGATAATTGTGGTTTTTTCAGAAATTTGTGCGGTTTTTTTTTATAAACATTGAGTGAGTTTATGATGAATTTTAATATTTTAATTTTATAATGCCATATTTAAAATATTTTTAAACGTTTTAACATTCTTAAATAAAATTTATAGATTTGATGGAAAAAGTAAGACGTAAAGTAGATATAAAATAGGATTAAAAATTATGTTTTTTTCTTAAGAAAATATAAAACTTTCTTTTTCGGAAAAAGCTAATTAGTAGCAAATATAATATTATTTAAAAAACATTTTACATAAACCTTTTTATCTCCGGGTTTTAACAAATTAAAGTATTTTGTAGTTGTCAGTTTAATATCCGAAATTTTTGTGTTAAACATTTTCGACAAAAATATTAACCAACAAGATAAAGAGGTATATTTAAAAACAAAACAAAAATTCTATATCTATATTTTAAATTTTCTTATGTAGATATACATATATGTATGTACATTTAAACAAGTCAATGAAAACATTTTTTCATACTTGTAATAGATGGCGCTGTAATGAAAAAAATCAATTGTGTTCGGTTTTTCTTCTTATACGATTCTATAAAAATATCACTTTTTTTTGGTAATAATTATCTTATTAAATTAAATCTGATTTTTTTTAAGTACCCACGATTTTTAAACTAATATTTAAGTTTCCTTTGGTTTAAGTTTTATACATTATTTCATTCAATTATCAATTGCGCACCATGGTCACTTTTTACCTGCCAGCATTAAATCCTTTAATTTAAAGGATTATTGTACCATTTTTAATAAAAATACCTCATTTAAGGTAAAAAAACATTATTTTATCAATTAATTAATTTAATCCTAATTGAGGTACCTATAAAAAAATCGTATTTAGTTATAAATAATAATTATTATTGAGGTATAAAGAAACTATTTATACATAGTTTAGCATTATTTAATCAATTTAGTTCGAAGATTAATTTGCAAACAAAAAGACCTCCTTTCGTTAAGCAGTTATTCATAATGTATTTTTTAACATTGGAAGAAAAATAAAAATGATTTTGATTTATGGAGAAGCAGGCAGGAATCTTGATGATGCTGTTAATATCTACGCTCAGCGTTTTCCGGAAAAAATTCGATCACGTACTTCATTTCACCGTACAGTCAAGCGGTTTACTACAAACGGGAGTGTTCAACCGAAAAAAAGAGTTCGTCGAGCAATAGTCACAGGTGGAAATAATGAAATTAATGTTTTAGCAGCAACGGCCGCTAATCCTCATGCAAGCACACGAAAATTATCTAGAGATTTGGGAATATCCCAGATCAGTGTTAGCAGAATATTAAAACGAAATAAATTTAAAAAATAAAAAATTATTGGAGATTATTAACTGATATATTTCAAAGTTTCAAGTTAAATGACTCACCCTGTATATTTTAAACTCTGTACATTTAAACAATTTAATGAAAATTAAGAACTTATAATGGAATATTATAAAAAAATGTATCTAAAAGGAGTATTTTATTTAAAAAAATAATATAAACGAGAAGACGAAAACTGGCCTTACAAACGTTTGGTAAAGTTGTTAACTTTGAAGAGCTTCTATCAGTTAAAAAAGTTTGTCATAAAGAAGTTATGTTTTTCCTTAATAAAAAAGGCCAAACTTTACAATATTACAGGTTTCTTTTTTATACTTACATAATAACTTTTAGGTATATTGTATAAGTTTCCGATTCCAACATTTTTTGTTTTTTTTTTTTAATATACGAGGTGTGTTCAGAAAATAACGGGAATTGTTAAATTACGCGGGTTCGGAGGGTCCGGTTGTCATAAAATTTTCTTTATTAGGTTGGTATACATGCCCCCGAAGTATGATAAAAACTTTAGCTGTTTTCATTGTTTACTTTGTCTGTGGCAGCCGCTAAGGTTAGACGTGTTTTATGAGCTCGGCGATTTTTCGTTCTTTAAAAGAAATGGATCAAAGAATTTGTATCCAATTTTGCTTAAAAAAATGAAATAAATTCTGTGAAATGTTAACAAAGGCCTATAGTGAGTCTGCTATAAGTAAAACAAGAGTTTACAAGTGGTATAAGAGTTTTAAAGATGGCCGTGAAGACGTTGAAGATGACGAACGCCCCGAACGCACAAGCACATTAACACCCGATAAAAACATGGAAAAAGTGGAAGAAATAGTTATAAACCATCAGAGAAGTCGCTGATGATGTTGGTATATCGATTGGCTCATCCCATGAAATTTTTTCAAATGTTTTGGGTATGAAACGCGTGGCAGAAAAATTTGTTCTAAAATTGTTAAATTTTGAACAAAATTTTTGGCCAAAAACAATACTGTAATGATGCCCCAGCCTCCATATTCACCAGACATGCCTCTGTCTGACTTTTTCCTATTCCCAAAAATAAAGAGAACCTTAAAGGGCCGTCGTTTTGCAAGCATAGATGACATTAAAAGCGCATCGCTGAAAGAACTAAAGGTTATCCCAAAGATCGAGTTTTAGAAGTGTTTCAAGTATTGGAAGAAGAGCTGGCACATGTGCATAATATCCAATGAGGACTATTTTGAAGGCGACAACATTAAGGTAGACGAATAAATAAATATTTGTTTCAAAAAAAGAAAATTCCAGATATTTTCTGAACACACCTCGTACATTCTTTGAGTTAGGTGTAAATTACACCCTATAATGTACCAAAAATATTAGAATATCCCAATTTTAGTTATATTTGAAAAAAAATTAGAATTACTGCAAATTAAACTTTAATTCCCTGTAAACAATTTACTAGCTATTAGGAGTATTATTTAAAAGAAAAAACTGCGTTTGGCAAGTGTATTTTAAAATTTAAAACAGAATATTCAACAACATAAAAATTCTTCAAAGACATGCTAATTCCTATCTATTTACATAATACGTGAAATAATCCAACCATTTAAATTTTCTGAAATTGCCTTATTTGCTGGACGTTTTTTTAATGGGAAATTTGCATTAGAATGTGGACACAATAAAATTAAAAAGTTATGCGATAAGGTGGATTATTCGAATTTTTGCTTTTAATTTTATGTGAAAATTTGCGATAGTAAATTTGAAATATTTTTTAAAACTAATTTAATTGTTTGTTAAGGAATTTCCTTTGTTAAAATGCATTTTTGTAGGTACAGTAATGGACATATGTAAGTTAAAGTTTATACAGTGTAGGTGGAACAAAAAATCTCAACCATCCTTTGTGCATAAGCATTATTCTACTAAATAATTTACTCTGTACATTATCTACATAATGTTTTCTTAGAAAAAGCTTTTAACTTTAAAAGTTCAGATTAAACTAAAAGGTTTTCAGCATTATTTAATATCTAAAAACTTTACCATTCGAAAATCGCTTCCTTATTTCATACATAATTTAACAAATGTTTTATTTGAAAAAAAGCCAATTGATTTCAACGAAAGTTCAACTCTATTATGTTAAATTGGTACATTTACGGCATTTAAGTCACGAGTGTTACAAAGGGGGCATACTATACTTAAAATAAAAAATAAAAATTTAATATTTGTATTGAGCGACATCTATACGAAATTAGGGTAACCAAAATTAGAGTTAGGGATCTGTTTTACCGGATTTTAAAATGTCTCCCTTGAAAATGATGATATACTATATCAGATATAGAAGCAGTTTTTACAGTAAAAGTGAAAAACCTGTTTTTCTCTAAAGTAAAGTGCCTTTTATGTTGCCGATATGACCAAAATTTATTAGGAAAGTTGTTTAGATTCACCATATACCAAATTTAAAAATCCTCGGCCAACTATGATTTTTATTTATTTTATCAAGATGGTATCTTTTTGGTAACAAATACGTTAAAAAGTAATTTAGAGTTGTGGTTTGAAATCACACACTGTATATTATTTCACAAGAAGGGCACTTTATTTTGACGTTTAACAACTGTCAAACAACTTAAAGCTAACTTCAGCCCGTGACTAAACCGCCATAAAGTCACAGCTTGCCAATTTTAAAATGTGGGAGTTAAAATAGCAACAAATATTATAATTTTCTGTTATCTGTTAAAGGAAATAAATAATCATAATATTGATATAAATTACTATAATTGACCGATATATTTTATCAAAGCAATAAAAAATGCATTAAAAATGGGACAAGTAATAAATATTACCTGCTAGATTATTATAATAGTTATTTACATAAATAGTAAATATAATTTGCATTAAATAGCAATAAAGCAAAAAACTAAACACCTTTAATAACACACGGTGCATGCTAGATTTATTAAATTTTTGACAAAAAAAGTTTAGAAAGCTTAAATTAAAACTGTGATATTTAACAGAATTGTTTGCAGAATATTTCGGGCAATATTTTAAATAAATAGGTATAGGCAAAAAATGACGTTTTTCATAAAAAAAATTCGCGGTGCGTGACGCAATAAAACAACACAATGATAATAATTATTATTATTTTCGATTTTCTCTAATTATTACCGCAAACGCGCTTGCCGCCAATTGTAGGTTATGTAATGGCTGCGAAGAGTTCATCGAACCCCGGCCAGGGAAAAATTATTGGGTTACTATGATTTTTACAGTACGAACTTCGCACAGTGCGACAAAAAAAATTTCAGTCGGACAAACTAATTTTCTTTAAAAAAATTTTTTTTAAATGTATACATTCTATACATATAAGAAGTAAATGTCTTAACTTAAAGAAATATTACAAAAAAAATATTTAAAGTGGTTAACTTCCTAAAAAAAGCAAAACTTGTTGTCCGACTAAAAAAATGTATTGGGTCACCGTGCGGCGTTTTCTCTGAACCCGCTGCCATCTACCAACTTAAAATCACATAAATTTGTTGTAATTGTGGCAGAACTGATACCGATAAAAACGAAAATGGTCACGACATGAGAAACCAGTTCCACTTTGGTCATCTGAATTAATAATAAAATCATTCTTTTTTTTCTAAAGCATGTCGGTCGTTTTTTCTTCTTCTTCTTTATTCGGTTCCTTACCGGCATAACCATCTTTCACGGCGTTTTGCAATTGTTAGTAGTTATTGCGTGATTGTACTCTCTAAAAATGAATTAGTCAAAAATGACTAATTTAATAGTTTTAAGTGGCTGCTTTTTCACTTGTACCATGGTTAACTATGGAATACCATGATATCCCAAAATTGTCCCCTGGATCCGAAAATGTCGTCAAAAGTTAAAAAAAGTAGAACAGTTTTTGAGATATAGTCAATATACACTCACAGGCAAAATAATCGATCCACACAAATTTTCGATGAATTTCAATCGCAAATAACTTTTTTATTTGATGTCTGATTTAAACGAATATTAAAGAATATTGTAGATACATTAATGGAGAATCGCTTACATTTTAAAAATTACTAAAAAATACAAGTACGTTTATAATATACAGGTTTAAACAAAATGATGTTTTTTACTATAAGTTTAAGACACTCTATAGAGTGGCAAAACCGTATATTGTTCTAAATTAAGTTTTAATTATCAAGTCACATCTATTTTTAGCAGTTTTGTTTTTGCTCCACCTTGATATATTTATTTTTGTGGAAAATATGGATTGTTTTAAAAAACATTTCAATTTCCAATATTTTTCCTGTATAAAGAACTAAGGTTGCTATGGTCCATCCATAGCCTATGGAGGATGACAGTGACAGTTTTGTTGAATCATCCCATACTTGGACATGTCATATACATCTTCCAAAAGCTATCAAATTGTTTTATGTAAATTAATGTGTTAATTTTGAGGTGTCTTCTTACTTTTAAAAATGTCTCCGACTGATGTTGCCCTTTGTACTTTACTTCTTGTGACGTTTAAAACACTTGCCACGTAATACTGTGACCGTCCATCCTGAATTAAATTAATGGCTCTGGCAACATCAGTCGGAGACATATCCATTTTTTTAAGTAAGAAGACACCTAAAATTTAAACATTAATAAGCAAAAAACAATTTGATAGCTTTTGAAAGCCGTGTATGACATGTCAAAGTATGGGATGATTCAACAAAACTGTCACTGTCATTCTCCATAGCCTATGGATGGACCATAGCAACCTTAGTTCTTCATACAGAAAAATATTGGAAATTGCAATGTTTTTTTAAAAAATCCATATTTGCCACAAAAATAAATATATCGAGGTGAACCAAAAACAAAACTGTTAAGAATAGATGTGACTTGATAAATAAACGTTAATTTAGAACAATATACGGTTTTGCCACTCTACAGAGTGTCTTAAACATATGGTCAAAAACATCTTTTTGTTTAAACCTGTATATTATAAACGTACGTCTATTTTTTAGTAATTTTTTAAAATGTGAGCGATTGTCCATTAATTTATCTACAATATTCTTTAATATTTGTTTAAATCCGAAATCAAATAAAAAAGTTATTTGCGATTGAAATTCATCGAAAATTTGTGTGGATCGATTATTTTGTCTGTGAGTGTATATATAGTCATCAGAAATATTAAGTTCTGTTCGTTTTAAAATTGTCACCCTGTATACGTAAATTTAAATGTATGGTAATTTTATTACGTAAAATTACTTACGCTATATATCAGATATTTTATGCATCCAATTTGGAGTGGTATCATGTTTGCGCTAGGTCTCTAGATTTGCATAGGAAAATAAACAGGGTTTAAAAATAAGCGTATCGAGCTTTATCCCTCGAGCAATTTTAATATTTGTACCGATGCATCTTCTGCACGATGTGTGCCCCGCGAATTTGTGTTTCTTTCCTGCAAGAATTCCCAAGCAGGACGGTTGAATGTAAACAGTATTTTGCCATATTTTGATGTATGCAACATCCAAACCAGAACATTTTTATTTCGTTGAATTATAAGTTTAAGTCGTTGTTATTTTTTTAATTGCTTTATTAGTTGAATGCAAGAACTAACCTATACTTATTTGGATATAATTTCAATGTTAGGTGCAAGGGTAAACTTATTCTTATTTCAAGAAAAACTATCATATTATTTTAAATGCAAGCACCCTCAAATAAAATATACACTATAGTGTATATTTTATTTGAGGGTGCTTGCATTTAAAATAATATGATAGTTTTTCTTAGCATATATGCTTAATTTAAGAATAAGTATTTTTTAATACAAATGTTATAATTCTTGGCGATACAATATTTACTTTTGGATTAAATATATGGTATATTTATGTAAGTTAAGCAATAATTGTTTCAAATATTGTCTATTCTTTTTTTAACTTTTGCTCCACTTTAAATAAATGTTACGATATAATGACCATGTTCATTTCAAAAGGTAAATAGTGAATTATGCTATTTTTTTCTATAGACTGATAAAGAAAAATATATAGGATAATCCACTCTTTACTTTTTGAAATAAACATGGTCATTATATCCTAACCTTTATTTAAAGTCGAGCAAAAGTTAAATAAGTTTTATTCGTACCTAAAATCTAGACGTAAAATATACAATTATAATTGTTTTTTATGTGATTCTTCGGCCAACCTAATATCACTCCAACATCTAAAATTCAATACATAATGCTAAACACATAAATATAATTATGTAGTAATTATTACCTACACATACATTTGGTGGTTAATTCTATCAAATTCCACTAATTTAGCAGCTCTTTCATAATTCCAAACCAAATATTAACTAACACAAGAAACAATCTTCCAAAATGTCGGACACTTTCGTGAGTGGGGGATATTTTTAAGAATAGGCCAGTCGTACCAATATTTACTAATCTTAGAATAAATATTATTATATTTATATCCAGTATAGTTTTATATCTTTAAGAACAGAATAGAGAGAATTTTCCAAAATTTGGTCTAATCGATTGTTAATCTTAAATTAAGAATAAGATTATTTCATTTAAAGTATTTTTTAACATTTAACAGGCAAGAATAAGATCTGCTTGTTTAAAGAAAGATTAATATTTAGTTTAATGTTAGTTTTAGCCTTGACCATATTAGGTCTAGGGTTGGGAAAATTTCGCTTTTTGCTTGTACTTAAAATTTCACTTGAAATTTTCATGACATTTATGAAATTTATTAAAATTTCCTAAATTTCTGAAATTTCATGAAATTTATGAAATTTATTAAAACTTTCAATAAATTTCAATCACTTTAAGTGTAATATATTAATATTGAAATAAGCCCACTCGGGGACCATGGCAAATTGCCTCTCTTACCTCCTACCCCTCTGTGGGCCCCTGCACCAATAATATAAATAGTAAATACCTATGTTTACCACAAATTTCTTGAGATTTCCTTTTAAAATATTTTTAAAATTACTAAAACTAAAAGAGATATAGCACTTTTTGGTAAGCTAATGAGATTGTGCCACTTTCATTGTTTTATATTTATATATATTTATTATTTTTAAATATTTTACTGAAATTTTACGAAAATTGAAGAAACTTCATCAAAATTTTATGAGCCAAAGGCATTATTTATCCGTTTTCCGATGCAATTATAGCAAAAGTAAAAGTTTAAATTAATCATGACTTTTAAAAAAAGTCTGATTTAATTTACAGATTAAATTGGTAACTGAATTAAATTATTTAAATTAATTTATGCATATAAGTAAAAATAATTACTTATAGTGTATTCAAATCCAAGCCGAACTAAACAAAAACGCCCAGACGCTTGATAACTCGTTCTTATTGGTCGATTCGGAATCTGTTGTAAATTATTATTAAAGGTTCCAAGGGAGGCCGCATGTGAAATTTATGCGAAATTTTCAGTAAATTGCGAAACTTTCAATGAAATTTCTGAAACTTTCACAGGCAATGTTGAAATTTTCGGATTGAAAATTTCATTTGAGATTTTTAAAAATTTTACTTTTCCAACTAAATGAAATATTTTAAGTTTGAAACTTTCAAAGTTGAAATTTTCATTTGAAAATTTTAACTGTCCCAACCCTAATTAGGTCAAATTAGGATAATCATCTTGTTTCTGTACTTGAGTTTAAGCTAAGAAATAAAATCTTTTTAATTTAAGGATAGGTTAATTTTTAAAATTTCGAAAAATTAATTTTTTTCTTTACTGTGTCGCTGTCAAGAAATACTGCAAAAGCCGTCATAAATTAGCCTGGCTCGTTAAATTCTGTTCGCTCCGTTTCAAAACAGACGTTCTGCTATAGCATGGTGC